CAACAACACACTCGTTTTCAGTTCATTACTGCATTCCCAGCCCAAGTGTAACACCATTTTAAAAGCAGCACACTCAATATTCCTAAATTGTTCCTAGGTTTTTGCTTCTCGAGCTGAGTGTAATGGATCTTTTCCTAGCTAATTAAGATGAGCCATTATCAAAACATAACTTGATAATGTGCAAGCAAAACATGCTGTAAACCAGTGTTTCTCAACCTTGACAATTTTAAGGCATGTGGACTTCAACTCCCAGAATTCCACAGCCAACATTGCTGGCTGTGGAATTCTGGGAGTTGAAGTCCACATGCCTTAAAATTGTCAAGGTTGAGAAACACTGCAAAATTGTTCCATTTAACAACCACATGCACACTCAGTCAAGTGTTCACAAAGTGCAGCCTGATTAATAGTTTGGATGCCAGGGTTTATAGGAGTATGCCACAAATTTACAACACTATTTTTTTTCCAGTACCTTTTCATAACTTTCCTGTCCACAGCTTCCCTCAATAGGTTGGGCATACCAGGATTAGTATACTTTGTCCTCAACTTACAACCACAATTGCAAAAGGGAATCACATGACTCCAGGGCACTGCAACCATCATAAATATGAGTCAGTTGCCAAGCAGCTGAATTTTGATCACATGACCATGGATATGCTGTAAGGCTTGTGTGAAAAAAACGGTCATAAGTCAGTTTTTTTAATGAAGTTGTAACTTCAAATGGTCACTAAATCAACTGCTGCAAGAGGACTGTATTTAAACTTGCCTGCCTTCAAACCATTGTTTGAACTGGGCTTAGACATCATAGCTTGAAAGCCATTATAGTTCATGCTTGTAGGCCAATCCTGCCGTCAAAGGTAAGGACTGCAGCCTGTGGTCTAGTGAAACATATTTTCTATGTGTATCCAAGATTGTTCACCCTTTGGGGGGGGGAAAAACACCTTTGATCACAGTTCCTAAATCACCTTTCTCCAGTCAGATGCCTTTTGGCTGGGAATTATGGAAGGTTAAATCCAATTTATCTCAAAGGAATCAAGTTAAGAGACGGCTGTCCTAAACCACAGAATTTACTCACACGTCTTCGCACACATTATTCCACAGCTTGATTCTGATTTCATCTAATATTTCAGTACTCTGAAAGTGTGAATTCTAGTTTTAAATTGTTTTAGGTATTTACTGTGAACTGTTAGGAGACTCATTAAGATGAAAGCTACATATAATAGTTTATTCATAGGAGGAAAGTCTCCCTTCTTAGAACAGATAAGGCAGAATTTTGGTATGTTCTCCAACACCAAAAACTCAAAGTAAACTACAAAATATTGTCCGTTAGGCCACTACATCACCCAGAAAAACAAATGTAGTAATAATGTTCTAGAGATTATCAATTAGGCCTAAATATTTTACAGATAAGATTTTCAACATCTGTTTTAATTGGAAACATACAAATTTCCATTATAGAATAGGGGAAAAGATTAGGAAGGACTGGAATGAAGAGAAATGGAGAACACACCACATGCTACAACATACTGCTTCCTTGTATAGTTGCAATCATTTTTAAATATTTTATTAAAACTGAGCACAACATACTAAGCCTGAGTAAAATACAGGACATCCTTTAAGACAGGAAATACTCTCAAGAACACCTCACCATCTTAATAACCAACAACCTTCTCATCATGTGATAAACATCCAGTCACATGAAGGTATTTGAGTCCTTCATTTGAAAAAAGAAAACATATTTCACAACTTAATTTAATATTTTCACATATGCAGACCTATTTATGGAACTTCACCTCTTGCTATCTTCCTGGCTGTCAGCTCAGACGGGAAAACTCAAAAGGTACAAACAAAGATTTACAACAGGGCCATAAAAAAAATATCAAGAGCCTTCTAGTTCCCTGACATTTTTGTCCTATCCAAAAAATCCACTTTAAAATAGCAATGAAAAACCCTGAAAATACTTGCCTTTAAAAACAAAAATTGGTTACTGTCAAACTTGGAAGAGAACTGGTTTTTGAGCCAAAACAAATTTTAAACTCTTTAATTGTTAAGTGAACAGATTCAAAAAAAAGAGGAATTAGGACAACCCCACCAACTTCATCCCAATGTATAGAACCTTCACTTCTCCTACGTAACTTTTGTACCTAAAATGTCTTTGCAAGATGCCTCTGCAAACCTTCAGTAAAACCAAACACACACACATACATTCCTAGTTATCATCCCCCCCCCCACACACACAAATACACAAAACTTACCTCATCGGCACTCAACTCCTCCATAGTTTTCCTCTTAATGGTGGAAGGCGTTTGGGGGAGGAGGGCTCCGCTGCTTCCCTCGAGGGAGGAGGTGCTTGGGTGGAGGAGGAAACGTCTTTAGGTTAACCCCTGTCCTGATGCCTCTTTCCTAAGGAGCGCTCAGAAGTGCATAGTCAGAGGTTAAGAGCAACCCGTGTCCTCCCCTCTTCCTCCTCCTCCTCTTCCTCCAAGTAGATCTCTGCCTTAGCAACCCACCGGGTCCTTCCTCCCAGCTTCGTATCGCCTGAACTGCATCCACCGCCCGCCCGAATCCCCTCCACGCCGGGTTCGCTCCTCCTCCAGACCCTGCTCTCTTCTCCAAACTGGTCCCAGTCTAATCCCGGGATTGGGAGCGTCCTGCGGTCCTCCTTTTGCACCCAGCGCTGCTTCCTCCCGGGCCTCTATCCGAGCTGCATCTGAGGCTGCTGGGGGGGGGGGATCTTTTTTTGGGGGGGTGTCAAGCCCTACCTGTCCTTAAGGCCCCACCTGTACAGACGAGGAATACCCTCCCAACACACACACTCGCACACACACACTTGGCTGCTCCCTCACTCCTCCGCGGGGGTCCCAAGGGAGCAGCTGCGCCTCCGGCCTCCCCCCCGCTGCCTCTCCCCCGAGCCTCGTGGATGCGCCAGCGGCCCCGGGGGTCCCATAGGGAGCTTCCCCTCCCCCACCAGGCCCGTCGCGGAGGGCAGGCCCCGCGACCCTCTCAGTCTCGACGGGCGGGCAGGCCCACCCGGACCCCGACGGCCCCCTTCGCAAACGGCCCAGGCCCCAAATCAGGCGAGCGGGGAGGCAACGCTCACCGGCTGAAGCCCCCGCGCCTCCCAACTCCCGCCCACGCGTGACCGCCGGAGCCCCACTTTCCCCTCAGCCGCTGCCTCCTCCCCGCGCGGAGATTATTCATCAAAACAAGAAGGCGGCGGCGGCCATCTTGGCGTCGGATCACGTGACCGCCGCTCCGCCGCGCTCCCCGCCTGTGCGTGAGCGCGTGAGCGTCCCGGGCCGACCACGCATGCGCGCCCGCCCGGAGTCCACCACGGGCTGAAGGAAGCCCGGGCCCGCCTCCGCCGTCTTGACACACACATGAATGATGGGTGGCGTCGGCCAATAGCAGTAAGGAGGAAGCCCTTCCAAGTTTACTCGAAGCTATCATCAGTTGGGCGGCTGGCCAATGGAAATGGAGAGGCGGGGAGGAAAAAAAAGAAAAGGGAAAAAAAAAAGCCCAACCCTCTCCGTAGTCTTACGCTGAAACGACAGCAAGCTACTGTAAGGAGAGGGAGTAGGCGGGGCTTGTTGGGGCTTGCGCCATAGCAACAGGGGCAGGGCCGAGGGGGAGGAGGGGAAGGGAGGAGGGGAAGGGTGGAGCCAAAATGGCGCCAAAATTAAAACCCGTGAAAATGAAATGGGGCTTGTGAGGCAGAGTTCAATTAAGTTAAACCAATTAAACCAATATAAAAGGACAGCAATAAAAGCACCAGCTGGTTTCTTCTCTTGTGTCGTGTCATGTCGTCATTATTTTGCCATCATGGTGAATGGCGCATTCCAAGATTTTTAAAAAGCCTTAGAAAGAGGCTGCATTCACCACACGTCTTAAGTTCCATTTTCTAGATCTGTACCACAAATTGGTTCATCTCGAAGTGAAAAAAGAGTCTATTGGCACACCAGGCAGACCCTTTAAAACTCCCATGAGTTTTAAAACCATTGACATACGGCTTTTTTTTAATTAAAGCAATTTACTATCAAAAGTTGGGGGGGGCACAACAAAATATAATTTTAAACAATAAAATAACACAATAGCAGACCAGCAAAGGGGAAAAAATATTTTCAGGGGGTGCCTGACCTGCTTTGAAACTGATAAATCTTCTTGGGTGCTCATCCCCCCCCCCTTTTGCAGTTGCAAGGGAACAAACTGAGGGTGCAGTTCAAATTTTGGCAAGTGCACCCCACAACACACCAAGCTAGGTTCAGCTTCATCCTCCTAAACCTGGTTAATTTGGTAACTAGGTTAAGTTTGTCACATGAATAAGGCCAGATCCTGCTCTCTAGCTCATTTCAGACACAGGAGGAGAGCCATGTTAAAGTCCTCAGGTACCAAATATATATATAGGTATATATAAAAATCAGGGGACTTTTTTCCAACTAACCAATAATATCAAGCACCCAGGATTGCCCTTGGTCCAGATTTCTACCCTATTTGGAAATTTTCCCGCAAGGAAGAAATTGCATATGGGGCGCCCCCTCCCAGTAAAAGAGGAAGCCAAGTTGCTAGAATCTCAACGTCATGATTGGAGAGGGCACCTAAAACATGCTAAGCCACCCATCATGGTTTACAAAGTGAAAATTGGGGTCAGACAACATGCCAAACCAGAGAGAAAAATGCACATGCAGGTAGTCCAGTTCAGCATGAGGATTTCCCCCCCATCCAATCCAGCTGGACAGGCATAAAACACTCCCAAAGGAAGACATTTTAGGACAAATGTGTAGCACCACAAAAACCAGAAACCCCGAGCTGCATTGCCAATATGTTTAATGAAGTGACTTCACAACAGTTGCCTTATTTGCTCTAGGAATCCTTAAGAGCATTTGTGACAAGGAGGAAATGGAGAAAACCCTGAAGCTCTCCGTGCGGTTGTGACTTGCAGTGAAAGAGATGACGCCTTGAAGGTGGCTGGCGCAGCTCTCCTGTTGAGGAGTCCCGTTTGAGATTCACGCTCGCTTGAAAACTTGTGTGGTTGTTTGGTCTTCGCAACGGAGCTCCTAAGCATAATAGAGACAGCCATACAGTACTGAAGCCTCAATTGCTGGGAACCAACCTCAAGCTACTTTAGCCAAGATGGGTTGTAGATAGAGACCCTGGCATCTCAAATCCACCCCACAATCCAGTTTGCCTCCCCCACTTAACACAAACCAAGTTAGGATCAAATCCTGACTCATTTCAAGCCTCTACCTCATCAGCATCCTCAATATCAGGGGTCTTCAAACCTGGCCCTTTTATGACTTGTGGACTTCAACTCCCACGTGCCTGGCTGAGGAATTCTGGGAATTGAAGTCCGCAAGTCATAAAAGGGCCAAGTTTGAAGACCCCGGCTCAATATGATTTGGTTTACATTCCTTTGCTTCCATTTTACATTACTTGGGTATCCTGGATAGGTTCACAATTCAGTTGGTGGATGCTTCATTATGATAATTTATGTTTAAGCGTTATTTACAGAACAAGCCACAATTGCTTGGGTTGACACCGCAGGCCACAGTTAAACTGCAAAAATTAAGATTAGTGCACATTTTGTGTCCCAAGCTTGTGAAAAAGTACTTGCAGTTTCTTCATGGAGAGGCTTTAGGTCAAGGAAGCTCATGTATGAAATATTTAAAAAGACTGGATCTGTTCCCAACCCTGACCTGGACCCCTGACCTGGCTGTCGTTATCTAGATCAGTTTATCAATTAATCCACCAAAAGATTTCCTACCAAATACAACTCATCTCCTTCAATCCAGTGGGACCAGCCTCTGTTTTTCTTTTCTCCGTTCTGAGTGCAGACAAGTTTATCATTGTTCCAAGTCACCACACTCTGCATTGAAAGGGGAAGAGGAGAAAATCATATATATATATTTTAATGCTTAGTTTTAAACTGCAACAAATTCATTTAAAATGGTATGGCTAGAGGCATTATAAGCAGATTTCTAAAATAACAATTTAGCCCACATTTTCTGCTAATTAAGGCTTTTTATAACCTTAAGCTACCAGCATTTTGAATTACTGGGCGAAGCTAAAATCCACAGAGTCAATTCCCTCCCTTAAAAAAATCCCAGGAGAAAAGGGCTTCAGTTTTATTTATATTTCATACTTCACGAGGACGACCAACTGATCCTATTAAATCAGTTATTAATCTTTAATAAGATGCAGCCTTTTTGCAATGCGAACTGATGTGCTCATAAATCTATTAAAGAAAGTAAAATATATATATAACCTTCAACTAAGAAGGTTGAAAGAGTTTGGTCTAGTAGGAAGAAATTTTCCTACCATTTGGACATAAGTCTCACCCAAACATTGTCAATATCTACTTTCCAAAAGCCCCAAGGAAAAAAAAGTTTTTGAAACACACATGGAAATCTTTTAAAAATCTGCCCAGTCAATGCTTATTAAGCCATAGCTGTTAATTTAAAGTTTCACATCAAAGGTCTGGCTGGTTTACTTACTCTGCATTTGCGATTGTCCATTCCTTTGTTGTCTTCGTCAAACTCCTCTCCAACTTTGAACTCGACAAAATAGTTTCGGAAAGTGCTTGTTGTTCTGATAGAAAAGACATCTCCTTCCTGTTTTATGTCCTTCTGGAGCTTCAACAGGTTTGCTATCTTGCGAGTTGCAAAATCTATACCTTTGCCGGACACAAAATTATAAACGGGAGTTAAGCAGTTTGCCGTTACATATTGATTGGCTTTCCCAGTTAAATGAATGCTGCCATCCTTGATGGTAGCCGGGTTTGTTTCATGCCAGCGCCACAGTTCCTCAATACAAATCAGACAGGATAACAGAGTTGGGAGGGACCTTGGAGGTCATCTAGTCCAACCCCAAGAAGGAAACCCTATACCATTTCAGACAAATGGCTGTCCAGTCTCTTCTTCAAAGCCTCCAGTGATGGAGCACCCACAACTTCTGGAGGCAGGTTGTTCCACTAGTTAATTGTTCTCACTGTCGTGAAATTTCTCCTTAGTTCTAGGTTGCTTCTCTCCTTGATTAGTTTCCATCGTTTCTGGTCTTGCCTTCTGGTGCTTTGGAAAACAGGTTGACAACCTACCCCGCAATCTTTGTGGCAACCCCTCAAATATTGGAACACTACTATCATGTCTCCACTAGTCATTCTTTTCACTAGACTAGACATACCCAATTCCTTCAACCGTTCAGGTTTTAGCCTCCAGCCCCCTAATCATCTTTGTTGCTCTTCTCTGCACTCTTTCCAGAGTCTCAACATCTTTTTTTATATTGTGGTGACCAAAACTGTATGCAGTATTCCAAATGTGGTCTTAGTAAGGTTTTGTAAACCACTTTCATCCAATTTGGGGTATGCTGTTGGGAAGACTGGCTTAGACTGTTGTACTGAATCTAACATGATTAACCCCAATTCGTGGCTTAATGTGGTGTGCAAAACAGACCACTGTGGTATACTCCACAAGCCAGTTTAAATACGGGGTAATGTGGGGACTTAGCCATGTAACAAGCAAACTAAACGGTGGCTAAGGCTAACCAGGTTATTTAAGCATTTGAAAACAAATCTGAGACAGTGTTCAAGATAGAATAAATATTTTGCTCTCTGCCTACGCCTGTGTCAACCGGATGAAAACCAGTGCAAATTCTGGCTTATATCCTGTAATATATTAACCACCTAGCATGAAAGCAGAGGCAAAACAAAGATTGACACGGATAGCTTTGTCTTCCATACAAAATGAAGGGATACGGTCACCAAACAAGCATCCCAAAGGAGGAAAAGGAGGAGGAGGAGGAGGAGGAGGAGGAGGAGGAGGAGGAGGAAGAGAAGAGTTCAACCAATGAAGCTTAAAGCGCTGTACTTGCCTAAAGCCAACATATAGCCTTCAAAATTCTCAGAGCGGACTAGGTTCCAGGTTCCACTGAAGTCCACGGGCATGGCTGAAGAGAGAGAGAGAGCCTAAGATCAACCCACACTAAGAAGGTCCAAGGATTCAAATGGGAAGCTAATTTCCCTCACGCCTTCTTTATATAAGGGGAGGCAGGAAGGATTTACAATAGGAGGTGGGATCTGATGCAGCTGGGCCTGCAGAGAATAAAGTTCAAATCAGCTGAATCCAGGGTGTAGAGCTAAAGTTAACTGTTGCATCAGCCACAGACACAGCAAAATTAAAGACCAGAGTCTTGTTGAGAGTTTACTTAAAACAGGGGTCTGCAAACTTGGCCCTTTTATGACTGGTGGACTTCGACTCCCAGAATTCCTCAGCCTGCGTGCACGTCTGAACATCTGGCTGACTGTGCGATTAATAATAATAATAATAATAATAATAATAATAATAATAATAATAATAATAATAATAATAATAATAATAATAATAATAAAAATAATAATGATGTTGGAAGGGACCTTGGAGGTCATCTAGTCCAACCCCCTGCTCAGGCAGGAAACCCTATACCATTTCGGACAAATGGCTGTCCAGTCTCTTCTTAAAAACTTCCATCAAACTGACATCAAGCAAGTTGCTTGGGTAGACTTTGATCCAGTTTAGTCAACCTCCTTCTTCCGTTCTTATTAGCAAGGTGATTTGGCAAAGGAACCATTGGTTTGGTAGCAACGTGTCTTTAAGCATCCATCTTTGGGGGATTTTGTAAGAGGGTAAAAGCATCCGTTCCCACGTGCGCACCGGTTTAGAGGCTTCCCAAAGATACAGTGAGAAAGAGGTTGCTGGACTTCATCAAGCCACTATCAAGGACAGGGGTTAGCGTGACCTTCTACCCCGTGCATTATAACTCACATCTGTTGCATAAAAGGGGGTAGAGAAACACCCACCCCGCTAACCTTTGCTCGGGAATGCGTGGCTGCCAAAATTTGCTCTCGGTATATCTCTCTCTCCCCCAGAGATTTTTAAAGCGGTGGGCGTAAAAGAGATTTCCTCTTGTTAACCATGTTCCTCTGTGGGCCAACTCATCCCTTTGGAAACATCTGCAAAAGTACTTTGAGGCCAATGAACTCTAAGCAGGATTTCTGCAAAGCCTTCCAGGACTGCCAGCCCAAGTTGCTTTCTTTGCGTTTGCACTTCGCTGTTCTCTCCCCTCCTGGTGTAAACCAAAGTGCACAATCCGGGGGGGCACTGTCTGTTGTATTTCAAGAGCTCAGGCTGGGCTTTTTCACCAAGTTCCCTTCTGGAGCTCCCAGCTCTCTCTAACTCAGGGGTCTTCAAACTTGGCCCTTTGATGACTTGTGGACTTCAACTCCCAGAATTCCTCAGCCAGCCAGGAATTTTGGGAGTTGAAGTCCACAAGTCATCAAAGGGCCAAGTTCGAAGACCCCTGCTCTAACTGCAATATGGAGTCCTATGGAGTTCAAACACACACACACACACACACACACACACACACACACACGCTCAGGCACAGCCACAACTTATCAAACAACAGATCACAACTGGCTGCCTGCCTCAGACACGATGGCGCAAAGCTTGTTTGATCAACCACCACCGGTTTCAAGCGTTTGCTCCGAACCGAGAGAGGTCGGGATTCAGCGATCGTGGTGTCAGCTTTAGGTAAAAATCTTCCCAGATCTTCCACTTAACGGCCGCAACTGAGCCCAACATTTCTGTTGCTAAGCGAGACAGTTGTTTAGGGGCTTTTGCCCCGTTTTACGGCCTTTTTGGCCGCAGGGAAGAGAACCACTGCAGTTAAATTCGTAACACAGAGTCGTGAAGGGACTCTGACTTCCCCATTGTCAGAAGGTTGGAAAAGGGACACAGCAACGGTCACAAAAGCGTCTGAATTTTGACCCCGTGATCACGGCGATGCTACAGTGGTCGTTAAGTGTGAAAAACGGCCGTAAGTCACTTTTTCCAGTGCCGTTGTAACTTTGAATGTTGTGAGCACCCCAAAAACTGTATGAGAAGCAGTTCATCCACAGTGCTAGAATATTTATCTTTTTATTGGAAGACTCTCCTGACCCAGCCTCTTGGCTCCTCACAGAGTTACAACTGAAGGGAGGACTGAACCGCCCCCCTCAGTCGGTTTCCAAAGTTATTTCGACCCAGAATAAAATGTTTGGGGTCGGCCCTAAGCCGGGATCCAATTGGCAATCCCCCGCGGAAAATGACAAAACTGATTTTGATTCCCGATTGCATTTGACTACATTTATTATTATTTTTCCCGTCCACATTACACTGAAGGGTGTGTCTTGATTTTGTGGCTCGTTCACATTACGATTCTCTTATCGAGTTCAGGATCTACACCTACACACACACACACAGACATTTTCTCAACAGCATTACGATTTTTAAGGGTGGGTTGTGTTGGAGGGAGGCAAAGTGCTGCGGTTCCAAACAACGTGCGCAAAGGACTCTTATTTTGTTAACAGCTAAAATATGAAAAAAAAAAAAAACAAAACATTTCAAAGGAAAACATCATAGAAGCACACACACAAACATCATATGTAAGAGCTAAGTAAAGAAAAAAGATAATCAGAAGTAACAACATTGATGAGGCGGATTTTCCATAAGGATATTTCTTATTCCAGCATGTATATTTTCTCCCACACTAAACAGGAACTGTCAGTGTCCTGCCAATCTTCAATCCTCACAGCCAAGTTTGGGTTTTCTTTATTTCCCGTTATTTCTCTTTTTCTCCTCTCCCCTATTTCCAGTATTTTTTTATTCGTCTTACACAGCTGAATTTAAAAAAAAAAGATTTAAAATTAGCTCGTTCGGAAATCTGAGCAGCAAAATTTATTGCTTGGTTCTCACTCCTGAATGAACAGTTCTGACTCAATGGAGTGGTGTTTTTCAAACTTGGCACCTTTAAGACGGGTGGGCTTTGACTCTCAAAATTCCCCAACTGGCCCTGTTGGCTGGGGAATTCTGGGAGTTGAAGTCCACCCATCTTAAGGAACTGAAGGGGATGAAAAAAATCCTGGGATATATACAATGAGATAACATTAGGAAACCATAGAAGGTAAACCAGATCTGGCAGTTCATGGAGATTTGCTGGTCTCCACAATTGTCCATGGAGGATAGACCATCTTTGAGCTGCAAAAAAGTTTTATCTTCTTGATGGCCAAAATAAACCCACCAACATGATCATGGCTTACATCAGGAGTGTCAAACTGCCGGACCCGTCATGAGGAAACCACGCCCAACCTATTGCCGGCAATGGGGAAAAAGCTCCGATACGTTGCGAGTTTGACATGTCTGGCTTACATGATTGGATGCTCTAACCACAATTTCAAAAAAACCATGCTTGTAGAAAACTAGTGTGTCACAATGAAGGTTTGCCTAGTGCTTGTTATCTGTGTGGGAGGGGTTTTTTTTGTTTTTGTTTTTAATTTAGGGTGTATGACTCATCCAGCACGGCTAAAGTAAAATCTTCAACGATAGACCCAGCATTTTAAAAACGTTACATTCCAAGATCACCTTAGCAGTCAAAGGTGGTTTCAAATGTCCACACAGTTTAACCATGATGGCTCATATTTACAACTAAGAAAGTACTTTTAGTGCATTAATCGACAAGGCACTTAAGGGGGGGAATCACCCCAGACCCAGAACTGTATGTTTCAAGTCAGCAGAGATCGAGGAAGCGAGACTGCATTACAATTCTCAGAAAGTCAGGCGAGGTAGGTCTTTTCAGAGTAAAAATCTTATTTCTCTGAAGATGTAGGCCTTTATTCAGAGTTCATTTTTTAGGGAAAGGATCCGGCCCATTTAATAGCACACTCCCCTTCTTTCGGAGGCCCTTGTCCGTCACCGCCTTCCAAAACTGGAGCAAGGCCTAAAAATGGTACATCATTAGAGCTAAGAAATGAGAAGCAGGCCTCAGACGCCATGCAGAGGTGCCAGCCATCAATTCAGAGGCGAGCCCGTACCTGTGGCTTCCCAGGTGGACCAGTTCTGTTTGAAATCAGAGCTGGACACCAACCTAGCCGCCAGTCTTTCAACCAGCCCCGAATCTCCACGATGGAGAACAGAGCCAGGAAGCAGACTGAGGGCTGAGTTGCTGCCGTTCCATAACATCTTTCTTCGATCTGCAGAAGCTCAGTGTGTTGAGTTCTGCAAGTCGAAAAGCTTTGAAAGGCAGCGGAACTCCCAGCTTGTGGTTATTTGGGCCAGCGAGCCAGCCACTTTCCAAAATTCAACCAGGGGAACACAAAGGGATTCCACCACCTTTGGGAGGGGAGCAGACACCGGCGAAATCCTCAGCCTTCTTTCCAATCGGCCCCTGTTCCTGCTCTCTCCCCGCTCCGTTCCCGTGCCAATCAATTTTTGACAGGCTCCCGGGCGTATCTCTGCAGAGGAGCTAAAACCACGCCCGCGTTCTGGTCTTCGGTCTCTGCGGTGTACAGATTATGCTGCTTGATGTAGGACTGAACCGAGTCGGGCACCAGGTACCGTATGCTCTGGCCCCTCCGGAGGGCTCGCCGGATCTTGGTGGCCGAGATGTCGTTGGTGATCCATTCCTCCACCAGGTCAATGTTCTCCTTGTGCTTCCACAGCGTGTCCGACTCGTAGATAAACTTCTGGGCCTCGTTCCCCAGCCTGGTAACGCAAACCATGCCGTGATTGGAGATGATTTCCTGGATATCTTCCGGCTTCCAGAGATTGGGCACTGCAAAGGACTCCAGAGTATCTGTCCCACACAGCATCTTCAGCTGGGGGAGGCCTGAAGGAGACAAGACAGACAGGGAAGGAAGTTGGATAGCAGAGCCCAGGGCAGTGAAAGCGTTTTCAAATCAGCCCCGATACAAACTTAAGTGTGTCGAAATTAACTCTAAAGATGCAAAATGCAGCCAGCGCGCATTCCAATTAATAGCCAAAGTAATTAAACGAACCCATGCTACATTTAAAATTAACGCAGGCCGGGATTCCAAGGGGTACCTTTGGAAAAAATCAGTTCAGGGATATTTGGTTATGAAGAGGATTGTAGGGTAAAGTAGCTGGCTGGGAATATCTCACCAGAGATATTCAAGCAGAAGTTAAGTGGACATCTAGAGCAGGGGTCCCCAACCCTCGGTCCGTGGACCGGTACCGGGCCGCTGCATGCCAGCAACCGGTCCGCGCAAACAAATAAAGCCCCATCCGCGGGATGCAGGCAGTACACGAAACGACGCCCTCTCCGGTCCGTGGAAAAACCTCTCTCCACGGAACCGGTCCCTGGTGCCCAAGAGGCTGAGGATCTAGAGCAGTGATGGCGAACCTTTTAGAGACCGAGTGCCCAAACTGCAACCCAAAACCCACTTATTTATTGCAGGGTGCCGGGTGGGCGTGGCCCACTGGGTGGGTGTGGCTGTGGAGGTCATGGCAGATTGGGTGGGTGTGGCCAAGGTGGGCGTGGTCACCTTGATGTTGCTCGTGGGGAGGGACGCCTGTGGGGGCCGGGCAGGGTTGGGGGAGATCCAGGGGGTCTCTGGCAGGTGGGGCAGTGGGCAGGAGGCTCGTCCTGCGGGGTGAGACAAGGCAAGATGAGGCAGGGCAGGGGTGGCATTGTCGCAGGGCAAGGCGAGGCAGGGGCTGCTGCTGCCTGACATCATCGGCCCCTACACACAGAGGCCAGCGAGCGCATGAGGGGCGACAGTGTCCGTCAGCAGCCACAGCCTGCCAGCCCCTCGACCGGCGCACTCTGGGGCTCTGCAGCCCGCCACCAGCAGTTCAGAGAAATGCCCACAGAGAGGGCTCTGAGTGCCGCCTCTGGCGCGCGTGCCATAGGTTCGCCACCACTGATCTAGAGGAAGACCGTAAGCTACAGCTTGAAGATCTCGAATAGAGGAGAAGTTGAACTAAGTTGCCTCCTCACTCTAAACCAGGGATGTCCAACCTTGGACAACCTGTGGACTTCAACTCCCAGAATTCCCCAGCCAGCCGTGGTGGGGAATTGAAGCCTTAAAGCGAACAAGGTTGGACACCCCTGCTCTCCACGTTCTGCCACCTCCGATTTAAGGAGACAACTCACATTTCCGTTTGGGTTGATTCATTCTAATGGGGAGCTGGCTCCCCGCTGCCCGCTTCCTCTTCCGGCTTGCTCTGCTTGGAAGGTGAGCGTCTTCAACGCTGTTGGCAGGACACGAGGGCTTCAGCTTCTGCTGGTGATATCTAGGGAACAGCATTGAAGAAGAAGTCTATTCCTAGATACGCGCAAAGGGATGGCAGTACTGAAGTTCTCTTGATCCTTTAAAGCAGTGGTTCTCAACCTGTGGGTCGGGACCCCATTTGGGGTCGATCGACCATTTCACGGGGGTCGCCAAGCAAGGCTGTCCACCATTTTTTTTGTCCGCCATTTTCCCCCCCTTTTCCGGCGGGTGCCTTACCTCCCTTGGGCTGGGCCAGCTGGTGGTCGGCCTGCTCCGTCTCTGCCGCTTGCCAGCTACGCCTCGGCCGGCGCAGGGGGCGGAACCACGCATGCGCGGCGCTCCCGGGCAGGGAAAGTCCTCGACTTACGACCGGTTGGGTAATCCTCGACTTACGACCGGTTCAGTCCTCGACTTATGACCGGTTGGGGTCGTGGCATTAAAAAGGTTGAGAACCACTGCGTTAAAGCCACGTTTCTATAGCAGTTTTATCTAGGTGCACCGTGCTGGGCAGAAGCACGGGAGATCTCTGCCCCTCAAATCTTATCCTGTATCAGAGTAGATATAAGTCGGTAAGCTACGATAGGTAATATAAGCTAGTTTAACAAAAAAGAAGGACTAGGGATGACACGATAGCAGTCTTCCAATATTTGAGGGGCGGGGGTGACACGAAGAGGGGATCAGCCTATTCTCCCAAGCACCAGAAGAAGGCAGGTCAAGAAGCAAGGGATGGAGACTAACCAAGGAGAGAAGCAACCTGGAACTAAGGAGAAACTTCCTTGACAGTGAGGACAATTAACCAGTGGAAGAACCTGCCTCCAGAAGGTGTAACTGCTCCAACACGGGAAGTTTTTAAGATTGCACAGACACTTGTCTGGAATGGTATAGGGCAGGGGTAGGCAACCTTGGCTCTTTTATGACTCATGGACTTCAACTCCCAGAATTCCTGAGCCAGCTATGTTGGCTCAGGAATTCTGGGAGTTGAAGTCCATGAGTCATAAAAGAGCCAAGGTTGCCTACCCCTGGTATAGGGTTTCCTGCCTGAGCAGGGAGGGCTGGACTAGATGACCTCCAAGGTCCCTTCCAACTCTGTTGTTCTGTCATTCTGCTTGCAATCCAGTCCCACAGGTGTCTGTTGAAGATAGGCTAAGCTGAGGCACACTGGGCTCTGAGACCTTGCGGCCATGATGGGCTGAGAAACTTTGAAGAAACAGCCACCACGTGGCTTTCCTGCAGGAGAGGAGGGGGAATGCCCGGGCCCGGCCGATACCTGAGGACTTTGATGGTTTCTTGCCACTCTGCCTGGCTGCTCTCCCAGTCGTCCACTTCCAGCCAGTCCGAGTTTTCGGTCGCGAGTCTCGCCATGGCCACCCGGTGACGGGCGCTGATCAGGCTCTTCTTCAGATAGGCGTCCCCCACGGGGGAAACGATCCCTTTCACCACTTTGTATTTCCCTGCAGGCGTCGATACAAGGGGAAACCTGGTTTAAATCACTGTTTAGCAATAAAGCTGCCTAGGTGAGGTTGGGCCGGTTTTTCTTCTCCCTTCTTGCTTTAAATTAGCAGCATTCTAAGAAGCCTGGGCTTTAAGTGGCATAAGGGGAGGGAGGGAGGGAGGGAGGAGATGGAGAAGGAAGGAAGGAAGGAAGGAAGGAAGGAAGGAAGGAAGGCGGGAGGGAGATGGAGGAGGGAGGAATAATGGAGGGGAGGAAAGATAAAGGAAGGAAGGAGATGGAGGAGGGAGAGGCCGATGGAGCAGGGGAAGGGAGGG